GATTGGATGCCAGTGAGAAAATCTTCCTAGTTGGACATTGATTAAGAGGCTATCAGGAAACGCTGGGCCTTTAGGTTGAGAAGTTCAAAAGGCTGCCGGGAAGAGAGCGTAAGGCAGCCCATATATCCATCCTGGGGCCAAGAAACCTACATGGATGTGTTTGTGAAGTCACCTGGGCCTGAGCTTGCCTCCAGGACAGTCTTTACCTTTTGCAGGCTTCACCGGTGAGATTTATTTTGCAGTAGATCTTCTTTCACCTGCCTTGCATGAACTGATTTATCCACTGCCTCCAGTTAAGGATTTTTTTCCCCCTTTCTGTATCTCAACGGTTCCGATAAGGCAGCACAAGGCCATTACACTGAAAACATGAGCGGAGGAGTGTATATTAAAAACAAATGGGCTGGAATTGAAAACCAGAGATTATAAAAATAAGAAGGATAAAAGGTAACCTTTCAGAGAACATCTTTACAACCTCTGCTGCCTGTTCAGCATCTTGACTTGTCCCCCACCTCCAGTTAAGGTGAGGCCTAATGGTTTTAAAAAGCAGCACGCTAATTCACGTGGGGATGGAACTCTCAGCTCCCTTGGGTGACCCCAATAAAGGAGGATAGTTGTAGCTCAAGGTTGAACTGTGGGGTCCTTGGTGCTGTCTGAACTTGATTATTTTCTTACATATACTTCCTTACTCAAACTAGGTAACATCATCAGTGCTAGTCAGCACTGGAACTAGACTAGTACTGATGATGTCTGAGATGGTATAGGTTTTCCTGCTTGAGCAGGGGGCTGGACTAGAAGACCTCCAAGGTCCCTTCCAGCTCTATTCTATTCCGTGTTACCTAGTTTGGGTAATGAAACATCTGCAAGAACACAAACAAGCTCAGGCAGCATCAAGGACCTCTCACTTAAGTGAGACAGATAGTAAGAGTGGCCTAAGATACTCTAAACTCTGGAAACCACCTGTGCATGGAGTGGGACAACTCACCCCAGCCAACTCACCACGGCCAACTTGTCATAGGACAACTTAACAATTCAAGTTAATTATTTAAAATAATTTTTAAAATGTTTTTTTTGCCATTCACATTTCATTTTGTCCCTCCTTTGGCATCCTTTCTTTAAGGATTCTATTCCACTATTTCTTCGATATTAGTGTAACTCTTGTCCTGCAGCGAGTTGTCCTGCAGTGAGTTGGCCGCGGTGGGTTGACTGTGGTGAATTGGCTATGGCAACAGGTATTTCAAGAGGTTATGGCAGGGGTAGGCAACCTTGGCTCTTTTATGACTCGTGGACTTCAACTCCCAGAATTCCTGAGCCAGCCATGCTGAGGGGAAAGGGAGAGGTTTCCAAGCTGAGCCATTCTGGCTCAGGAATTCTGGGAATTGAAGTCCACGAGTCATAAAAGAGCCAAGGTTGCCTACCCCTGGGTTAGGGTCTTGTTGCTTGGATGTTTGGAATCCTCTGATGGGATGCCTTTGGAAATGGGATATCCTTGCATTTAGGTCTCATTCTTGCTGGGAAGTGGCCCACGCCTGTCTGCCCTCTTCCTCTTAAGATATCTATCATGTCAGGCCACAAATCCCATTCCTGGCCCATTTGAGATACCCTATTTGAAGCAGCCAGAAGTGAAATCCATACGCTCCCCCGGCTGAGCCATCTGCCTCAGCCAATTGGGTAAATATGTTACTGTAGGTTTCTTTTCTACTTCAAGGCCGAACAGGGGGAAAAAAATCACTGTCCAATTTAGCTGCTGGCAAGCTGCTCATTTTGCCTCCCACCCCTTCTTCCCTGCCTGTTTGCCAAGACGATCAATCCCAGCCAAAGGTGGGAACTTTGTTTGTAGCCAGCGAGAGCCAGCTTCTTCAAAAAGGGTTTTTTCGCTTTTACCAAGCTGCCTTTTCCACAGACAAAATGTTTCCATGGAAAAATGCCCTCCCGGGCTGAACTTTTCTCATGAATCTCCACCTCTTTTCTTCTGCCTTTCAACTCAAGTGACAAGCTTGATATCATTATTATTGGCAACCAGAAGCCGGCAGACCAAGTTGAGAAGATCAAAGACCGGCCTGCAGACAGCCGAGGCCCAGCCAAGATGAAGTTGCATTGGATTTACTGTAAATTGCTCCGAGGTTCTGTGAGGATTTCAGTTTATAAAGGCAAATACCTTTCGTCTGATGCCAGTCTTAGCTTTCTCCTTTTGTGATCACAAAACCTTTGATTGTAAAACAGCATATTTTATCTCTCCATTAATCACTCTTCTGTGTGCAGAAATAAAACTGCAGTACTTACAAGGGTAATACTGTATTATCCACCTTTGGCACCCAGCGAATCTTAAAGCAATCTTTGTAAGACAGAAACTTGTTCTATTTGAAGGATTTTTAACTACAAAAGAGCAACCCATTAAACATTATTTTCATATGAAGTCACAATTTTCGCTTATCTCTTCCTTTCTCAGGGTCACTAGCACTTAAAATCACTGAAATTATAATACGTAATATGTTAGATTTTGTAATTTCAGTGTGTAGAAGGCTTGAGTTTCTCAAGTTTTTTTTTTATATTCCTTAGAGCAGTCCATTTCCAAGAAAACATCCTTGAATATCTCACAAGGACAAAATTTCTGTTCCATTTCCAAAAGGTGACAAATGACTGCCGGATGAATTAAACTCTTGAGAAAAAATCTGTTGCTTCTGCATGTGTTTCAAAAAAAGATCCATTAGCCTTTAAAAATGATTTGAGGTTCTTTCTTTTTCAAAGTTTGCTTATCATGTGGCCATGAATGTGCTTGTTTTTTGCTATTGAAAAGTTGCATTTTTAATCAATTTGAATATTAAAAATTTAAGCAATTTATTATTATTTTTTTATTATTTAAATAATAAAATTTCCCATTTCATGAGAGACTTCTTCTACTACTCTGTTAATTTAAGCTGCAACATTGGCTCCCAGAAAGATACGCACCCAGATCATCAGTTATTCTACCACAGACATGTCAAACACAAGGCCCGGGGGCCGGATGTGGCCCGCGAAGTGGTTTCATGTGGCCCGCGAAGCCATCCTGGAAACAGTGAGGGAATGGCCCCCGCTGCCTTGGCCCTGGCCCAGGCCGGCCGGGAGCCAATGTACAATTTTGTGGTGGCCATCTATGCTGAAACGCATTCAGTCTTAGCTCCACAAGGCCGTCTGGAAACAGTGAGGAACCAGCCCCTGCTGCGTCGGCCCCACCCCCTGGGTGCATGCTGGGGAGGTGTCACCCTTTGTGAGGATTGAAGAAATGCACTATCGCCTGGAAGTGGCCAGCAAATGGCCCTTGCCTACTTCACATATCCGGCTTGATGGGCTCTGGGGAAGGGGTTTTGGCAGGCAGTGGGGTGCTCTCCTCACAGTGCTGAGAGGCTGAGCCGGGCTGCGCAAATCCAAAAAGAAACACGAGGCCGCCTGCTCCCAGCCTGCCCGGTTTCAGCAGGCAGCGGGGCCCTCTCCTCACAGCATCAAGAGCTGAGCTGGGTGGTGCAAATCTGATGAGAAGTGCAATGCTGCCTAGCCCCCAGCCTGCCCAGTTTCGGCAGGCAGCAAGGTGCAAAGTTGGCAAGCTTCGCACCGCCCGGCTCAACCTCTTGGCGCTGTGAGAAGAGTGCCCCTCTGCCTGCCGAAACCACGCCCACCCAGTAGGCCACACCCACTCCGTCCACGCTCACCCAGTAGGCTGCACCCACCCTGGCCACACCCACCTGGTCCCCCAAGGGCAACTGCAGTACTGATGCGGCCCTCAATGAAATTGAGTTTCTACCACTTTCACTATTTTTCCAACCTTCCTGATGCTGCATTCTAAGGGGTCCTTGAAGCTGTCTGAACTTGGTTGTTTTCTTGCACACATTTCATTACCCAAACTACATCATCAATGATTAGTGACTAGCACCGGTGAGGTTAGCTAGTTTGAGTAATGAAACCTCTGCAAGAAAACAACCAAGCTCAGAAAACACCAAGGACCCCTTATTTCAACCCTGAGCTACCAATACTCTCCTTTATTGCTACATTCTGAGTCTGCATTCAAACCATACATTTAAATACAATGAGGCTGTTTGACTCGACTTAATATGTTATGCGAAGGCAGCCGTTGTGATTTGTGAAATACATTTTACGACTTAACATGCTCACAATCTCAACTAATTGAGGTTTGGTTTAACTATGAATAAATAATTCATGGTAAAAAAAGATGTTGAGACTCTAGAAAGAGTACAGAGAAGAGCAACAAATATGATTAGGGCACTGGAGGCTAAAACGGTTGCTGGAATTGGGTATGTCTAGTTTAACGAAGAGAAGGACGAGGGGGGACAGGATAGCAGTGTTCTAATATCTCAGGGGCTGCCACAAAGAAGAGGGAGTCAAGCTATTCTCCAAAGCGCCTGAAGGCAGGACAAGAAGCAACAGATGAAAACTAATCAAGGAGAGAAGCAACCTAGAACTAAGGAGAAATTTCCTGACAGTTAGAACAATTAATCAGTGGAACAACCTGCCTCCAGAAGCTGTGAATGCTCCAACATTGTAAGTTTTTAAGAAGAGACCGGGCAGCCATTTGTCTGAAATGGTATAGGATTTCCTGCCTGAGCAGGGGGTTGGACTAGATGACCTCCAAGGTCCCTTTCAACTCTGTTGTTGTTGTTGTTGTTGTTGTTATTATTATTATTATTATTATTATTATTATTATTATTATTATTATTATTATGTATTGAACCATGGTTTCTGAGCCATAGCTTGTTTAGCAAGCCAGAGTGAACATACAGGAAGAAAGGTGATTGGAATTTTGAAGTCTGGGGAGTATCGGTTTTAGCATTAATAGATTTGTTAAGTATTGGAAGATATTTGTTTCCTGACAAAGACTGACAGCACACATATGACCCTAAAGTGGAAGAGGAGGAGGCACTTACAATCACCTGTTCCTGCAATTCCCTTTGATGTGTCTGTTGCATTAGTGCATCATTCTCTTTCTTCTCTGTTTCTTTATCCAGCTTGATCCCGAGAACACTGGTTACATCAGCACAGAGAAATTTCGAAACCTCCTCCAAAGACATAGCTCTGAACTGGATCCACATAAACTGGAAGTACTTTTGGCTTTGGCAGACAACAATTCGGATGGAAAGATTTGTTATCAAGACTTTGTCAACTTGGTAAGTGATTTTCTAGCTGGCAGAGGAGAAAATGAGTGTGGGTGTCAGAGCATCCATGTCTGTAAATACCTGGGAATGTAAAAGAAAGCCTAATGAGAAGGGAATACCGCTAGTCCTCGGCTTACGACCACAATAGGGACTAGAAAAACCATTAAGTGGCACGGTTGTTAAGTGAGGCATGATCGTACCTGATTTTACCTTTTTTTTACCATGATTGTTAATTGAATTACCAAGGTTGTTAAGCAAGACATCATGCAACTGGATAATGACCATGTCTTCTGGCTTCTCCATTGACTCTGCTTGCCGGAGGCCACCTGGAAAGGTTCAAATGGTGATCACGTGACCAACAAACCAGGATGGTTGCCAAGCATCCAAATCACGATCATGTACCGTAGGAATGCTACTGTGGTTGTAAGCATGAAGATTAGTTGTAAGTCACTTTTTTCAGCATTGTTGTATCTTTGAACACTTGCTACATTGATGGTCGTAAGTTGAGGACTGCCTGTATTCTCTAAAAGGAAAAGGGAAGCACTGGCAAGTTAATCAATGTAGGAATCAATCAGCAAGTCTTGCCTTCCTTGCAGAGATTGAAAGGGGATGACCAGCCAGAACCTGTGGTTATTGTAGCCTTGACTAAGTGCCAGTCCAGTTTGGGCTGGAATTCTTAAAATTGGTTTTAGAATAGCCAGCAGTAGCCCAAGAAAGATGCAGCTTGAGTTGCTGTAATGTATAGAATTGCCCTGGAGTTTAGAAACCCTTCCCATGCAATATTATACCTGTATTCCTGCCCAGGAATTCATGTATAATTTGTTTATTTGCGCATTTATTTATTCAGTGTATTTGTTCTGTGTACCAAGTAGAGATACATTTCCCAGTGTGTAGGGTTAGAAAAATAATAATATGTTCCTTTCTCACCAGTATGTTTGCATTTCTACTTTCCAGAAACACAAATGACCTTAGCTAGAGTTTGGGGATTTCCAGCCATTTTGAAAACTGAATGATTTTAGACCCATCTGTGGTCAGCCCTTTTTTTTTTTTGTCCCTTTTCCAAAATTGAATTATTCAAAACACAGTTCAGTTTTGGAAAAATACCCAGTCGAACAAACCACAATCTCTTTCTTTTCCTGTTCTGAGCTAGAGAAAAACCAAGGGAAGGAAAAGGAGAAAAATTTGAGAGGACTCAGAGAAAAATTAAACTAAAAAAACAAAACAAAACAAAAAACCTGGGTTGTGGTGCCCTGCTTTAGAGTGAAATGAAAGATGAACTCACAGTGTGGGAAAGTTGGAGATTGATGGGGTTAAGACAGCTGAGTTGCTTTAGAAAGTGCAGATCAATCCAGTGGGGGTCTTTTAATTGAATGGCAAGGGAAGAAGCAGAGAAGACTAAAAAATGCATTCAAGAGGGCCAAAAGGCAGAGCAGAAGCAAACTTGCTCTGCATGTTTGGAGATCAATTACAAACCCATACCTTTGATGTGATGTGGAATTTGGCCTAACTCCCAAGTAAATATTTTGGCAAATGACTATTTATGTTCTACGTAAAAAAAAAAAGTGTAGCTTTGAGTTCCAAAACTTTTTTAAAACAATGCTTAAACATACACACTATCTTCTCCAAAAGGAGCTGAATTTTGTTGAGAAAGCTCTAGATGGAGTTCCTTGGTATTCTTCCTATTTATTACCTCTGGCTATCTCAATGGCTTCTGAACAAGAACGTATTTAGTGAATTTATGAAGACCCTTCTATGGTGTTGTTTTGACAATCTGTTTCCCATCTTTCCCAAACTCTGTCTGCACACAAGCAAATCGCAGTATCACAAACACATCAGTCTCATGGATGGATGGATCTTCCATGAAGATCATGGATCATGGATCTTCCATGACCTTCCATGAATATCTGGATAGATGGATAGCTTCTCTCAGTATCCATCTCTAGTACCATCATGTTCTGTCCTCAACAGAGCTGTATAAATCTTGAATGTAGTGAAAAAGACGACCATATATTCTGATGAAAAGGTGATACGCCACCATTTGTTCGTTTGTTAGATTTTTATCCCACCTTTATTACTTTATCAGTAAGTAAGTCAAGGTGGCAAACATACCTAATGCTCCTTCCTCCTCCTATTTTCCCCACAACAACAACCCTGTGAGGTGGGTTGGGCTGAGGGAGAGTGACTGGCCCAAGGTCAACTAGCTGGCTTTCATGGTTATGGTCTCCCGGTTCCTAACCTGGTGTCTTAACCTCTAGACCAGACATGTCAAACTCAAAGCTGGCAGGCCAGATCCAACCCGTGTTGTGTTTAGATCTGTCCTGTGGGATCACCGTGGAGACAGCAAGGGGCCGGCCCTTGCTGCCTCGGCCCCAGCTCACCCGGTGGCGCATATGTGGATGAGCCTCCTACCTGCTATACCTCCGACAGCCCTGGCAAATGGGAAGGGTGGGGAGTTCCCATCCCCAAGAGGCAGCCGGGACTCCTTTCCCTGCTCTGCCCTGCCTGAGCCCAGCCCCGGAACTGCCCTCTGCCGGAGTTAGGATGCCATTTGAGGCTCGCCCTCTGATCCCGCCTTCCTCGGTCTATCAAGGCTGTGTCCGCGGAGTAGCTGTACATGTTTCAAGCTTCCCAGTGCTTCAAGTAATGCTGGCATCTCCCGAATCCCATCAGCCGGTCCGCCTCCAAAGGAAACGTTTAAGCGAGGGGGTTCAGGATCAAGAGGCCACCCCCCCTGGGAGGTTCTGGACCCTGAGCAGCGCTTGTAGGTGTCATCCAGAAGGCTAACATCTACTTTTGTTGAAATTGGCTGCAATAATCAAATTTTTCAAATCTGATTTGTGCTGAACCTCCTTGTTATCCTATGAATCAGGGAGGCAGCTGCCTGAGCTACTTCCAAATTTTCTCTGGGCTTGAAAACTACTTCAGCCCCTTTTGCCTAAGAAGAGGGTTCTCTACTGTCAGTCAAGCCGGCCACGCCCACCCAGCCACACCTACCTAGTCGTGGTGACCAGGCCACGCCTACACAGCCACGCCCATCTGGCCCTTTGAGGGCAACCATAACACCGATGCGGCCCTCGATGAAACTGAGGTTGACACCCCTGCCCTAGACTGAACTGGCTCTATTGTTTCCCTTCTTTCTTTGGTTGTTTTTCATGTTTTATTTTCTCTGTTACAAAACGCTTTTTCTTTCTTTCTTTCTTTCAATCTTTAGTTATGCTCAGGCAACCTTTTAGCAGCTTTCTGGAAGCCAATGTGACTTCCTCATATTGGTGCTCAGTAAATATTTCACTTTATTATGAAGTTTCTTCGAATCTTCTCTGTTCTAAAGCTTCCAGTGAGTCAAACAATCTCCAGGCTGTTGCTGTTAGCAACCCCCCATTGCACTCTAAGCCCAAGTGTATCGCGCACATCCATGTGTAATCTCATATGTCTTCTAAGTAGTTTCCCACATATAGTGAACAGCATCTGCAATAAAACATGGCTTTAGTGCAGGGGTCTTCAAACTTGGCCCTTTTATGACTTGTGGACTTCAATTCCCAGAATTCCTCAGCCAGGCACACTGGCTGAGGAATTCTGGGAGTTGAAGTCCACAAGTCATAAAAGGGCCAAGTTTGAAGACCCCTGCTTTAGTGTTTACTGAAATGAATCCGGAGCACTGCTAAAAACCAAATACAGTCTTAAAATGCTGCCTTTCGGAAGTTTTGAATTCTCCATAAATTCTGGTCTCCCCCTTGACCCACAGGATCTTTGATTTGAAATGTGGATAAGCATAGGTTCTTCATCTCTAAACTCATATCCAGAAATTGCTTGCTTTTCATAATTATGTGTCTCTCCATGTCTGTATAGATGATTTGAAGTGCAAGTTCAAACTTTAAGAAGGTGACCTCCTACCCACACCCACCCTGAGTAATTTTCTGACTTGCTGGCTAAATAATTGACTTAAAAATGGAACCATTTGCTAAGGGAAAACCTTTCACTGGTTTTAGATTCCCATAAAATTGAAATTCCATTCTGTATCTCTTGGTTCTACCAGAGATGTTACTCTTATCAATGCCTTCAGGTCCATGCTTAGGGTTAAATAGATAGCAGCCAAATTAATTGCCTTTATTGATCTTCTTTCAAATTCTTTAAGTGCAATTTGGGCCGTCCCTTGTTCTTCTATTTTACTGGTTTATCCTCTGAAGAAACTTTCTATAATTATATAATTGACTGTAATGATTTTAAAAGATAACCTTCCCTAAACATTCCCCCAAACTATCTCTGCAAGATGACATGATTGCTAAGCTTCCCTTTGGGCTCTTTGCATTTTCAAAAGGTTTTGTTAAATTCAGTCTTAGGTTTTAGGCAAGGGAATCTAGCAGAACTGTTACTTTTAAATTTTAAATTTAATAAAACTGTTAATTGTATTTTATTTCTAGAGATGGACTGTGCATTAAATCTCTCCAACTAACCATAGATTATGGGCTGGATTAGCTTGTGAATCTGGGCTGGTAGTTCCTTTTTGTGATTTTTTTTGTGGGTTTGGAACTCAGCTGAATTGCATCTGGTTATTCGTGGAGATTACCAGGAAATACCAGGTGGCCTACATTTGAAAAGGAAGCCATACTGGCAGAAAACATCAATAAACTCTTTCCATACACAATGTCAAAGACACAAAAAAAATATAAGCTTTTGGATCAGCTCTTTATTGAGAGATTGATCAACCCCTTATCTTTGTACTTGGGTGTCTGTGTTGCAGTCGATTTTCTTTCTGGTTTTTTTTTTTTGTTTGTTTGTTTCAGACCCATAAAAACACGGAAATACTTCTTTAAAATTGTATTTTTGCTCCTATGCCAGAAAAATCTCACAAGGGATTTTCCCTACGCAAATTGCAAAAATAATTGGCACATAATTAACTGTGATGAAGTTTCATGATATTGAAGACTGTCTGCTTAAGGCACATGCCCTATTCTGCCCTGCATCTCATATTTAACGATTGTCCCCACCCCCCAATTAGCCCTAAATTCATAGAA